TAACTCGTGCATTAGTGTCTTTGGCTGTAGACATCCATCTCAGTGGTGCGTGATCCGTTACCAGGGTGAATTTTCTGCCCAGGAGGTAATACCTTTGTCAGGGCCCATTTTATTGCCAAACATTCTTTCTCCAACGTTGAATAATTGATCTCATGCTTTAGCAACTTACGGCTGATATAGGTCACTGGGTGTTCTTCTCCTCCTCTGACCTGGGACAGCACGGCTCCAAGCCCTGATCCAGAGGCATCTGTATGGACGATGAACGTGTCCTCAAAATTAGGGGTGCTTAAAATTGGCTCGGTGCACAGGGCCCTCCGAAGGGTTGTAAAGGCTGCCTCAGCTTCGGTGCTCCAGAGGACCTGGTGTGGGTGGCTGTTTTTCGTCATCTCGTGTAAAGGGGCTGCAATAGTAGCAAAGTGGGGTATAAAGCACTGATAATAGCCGACCAGGCCGAGGAACGTTTTTACTTGCCGCTTCGTGGCTGGCTTAGGCCAGGTGGCAATGGCCTCCACTTTCCGGGATTGGGGTCTCACACTGCCTCTCCCAATGGTGTAGCCGAGGTATTCCGCCTCCTCCAGGCCAAGGTGGCACTTTTTTGGGTTGGCGGTCAGGCCAGCTCTCCGTAGGCTTCCCAGGACAGCTTTCAGGTGGCCTACATGGGTGGTCCAGTCGGGGCTGTGTATGACCACATCATCTAGGTAGGCCGCTGCATACTCCCGATGAGGTCGGAGCACCTGGTCCATCATTCTTTGGAACGTAGCTGGCGCTCCGTGGACTCCGAAGGGCAGGACTCTATAGTGGTACAGGCCTTCTGGGGTAGCAAACGCTGTCTTCTCTTTGGCGGTTTCTGTGAGGGGAACCTGCCAGTAACCTTTAGTGAGGTCGAGCGTGGACACAAACCGGGCTGGGCCTAATCGCTCTATTAACTCATCAACCCTCGGCATGGGGTAAGCGTCAAATTTTGAGATTTCGTTCAATTTTCTAAAATCATTGCAGAATCTCTCGCTGCCGTCGGGTTTTGGAGTCAACACAATCGGGCTGGACCATGCACTGTGTGACTCCTCAATAACGCCCATCTCCAACATCCTTCTCACCTCTTCTTTGATGGTCTCCCTTTTTGCCTCTGGTATGCGGTAGGGTCGGAGCCTCACCTTTTTCCCAGGTTCGGTGATGATGTCGTGGTTAATCACCGTGGTCCTTCCCGGCATGTCTGAAAAAACATCTTTGAACTGCCCAGTTAGTTCCACCATGTCTTGCCGGTGGGTCGAACTCAGATGGGGGCCCAGAGGTACCTGTGAGGGGACACGATCTTGGGTTTCGGTGGTTAGTGCGGCCATCGGAACACTGTCAGGGGCGTGCCATCTCTTCAACAGATTAATGTGATATATTTGGCAGATTTTCCTCCTTCCCGGTTGTCTTACCTTATAATTCACCTCCCCCACCCTTTCGATCACCTCATAGGGTCCATGCCACTTTGCCAGGGATTTGCATTCCACCGTTGGAATCAGGACCAAGACAAACTCTCCCGGCTGGAACTCCCGTAGCTGAGCTCTACGGTTATAGATTCTGGCTTGGGCGTGTTGGGCTTGTTGCATATGCTCCCGCACCAGGGGCCATACCTTAGCCATCCTGTCCTGCATCTGGTCGACATACTCTATGGCGGAGCGATGGGCTGATGGCTGTTGCTCCCATGCTTCTTTGGCCAGGTCCAGCATGCCCCTGGGTCTCCGTCCATACAGCAGCTCAAATGGTGAGAACCCTGTGGACGCCTGGGGCACTTCGCGGATTGAGAACAAGACAAAGGGGATTAGTTGGTCCCAGTTTTTCCCCTCCACGTCAATAGCCTTCCTTAGCATTTGTTTTAAGGTTTTATTGAAACGTTCTACCAGGCCGTCCGTCTGTGGGTGGTAGACAGAGGTTCGTATTTGGCTCACCTTCAGCAGTTTACACATCTCCTTCATCACCCGAGACATGAAACAGGTTCCCTGGTCAGTAAGGACTTCCTTTGCAATCCCAACTCTACTAAAGAGAAGGAATAATTCTCTCGCCACCGCTTTAGCACTTGCGGTGCGTAACGGGACCGCCTCTGGGTACCGGGTGGCATAATCCATGATAACCAGGATAAACCGGTGCCCCCTACTGGACTTCGGCAAGGGGCCTACTATATCCATGGCCACCCTCTGGAATGGGATGTCGATTATTGGTAGTGGTATTAGTGGATTCTGGTAGTTTACCTTCGGCGCCGTCTTCTGGCATTGTGGGCAGATTTGGCAATAATCCTGGACCGCCTTCTTCACCCCCGGCCAGTAGAAGCGCTCCCGGACTCGGTCGTAGGTTTTCTCCACCCCCAAATGAGCTCCCAACAGGTGGGAGTGGGCTAGGTACAACACTTTGTTAATATAGCGCTTGGGGACTAGCAACTGTTCCACCACCCGTTCCTCCAGCTTTGCCACCCTATACAAGAGGCCATTCTTGATTGAAAAGTGTGGAAAGGTGCTAGCACTTACCCCCGCCACCGGTTCTCCCTCGACCACAGCCAGGTTCTGTCGCGCTTGTTCCAGGTTAGGGTCCTCCCACTGGGCCGTCCCAAACTGCCCGGGCCTGGTGGAAGATGCCTCTTCTGCCAGTGGGAACTCCGAAAAAGCCTCGTTCGAAGACCCTTCAGTTAGTCGGGGATCCCTCCTTGTCGGGGCCTCCGCTGGGGCCGGGGCCTCCGCTGGGGCCGGGGCCTACGCTGGGGGCCGGGGCCTCCGCTGGGGCCAGGGCCTCCTCCTCTGTCCCTTTCTGCAGATGACGTGGTTGGGCTAGATGGGGCTGCACAGGCATGTGCCACCTTGACTTTCTGGTCCCTACCAGGTTTCTTGGTGGGACAGTTTCTTCGGTGGCCAGCAGTCCTGCATGCCCACAAACGCCAGAATATCGGGCAGTCCCGCCCAATCAGCACTGGTACCGGCAGATTTTCCACTAAGCCCGCAACAACCTCAAATGTGCCCCTGGTGGTCTGGACCTTAATGTGGGTCGTGGGATACTCTCGTGAATCCCCGTGGACACAGGAGACTGGGATAGGGGGTCCCCTGGGGCCAGAGGTCAACCCGGGCCGTAGGAGGGTGACCGCACTGCCGGAGTCGAGTAGGGCTTCAGCATCCTGGGTCCCTATTCTGACCGGCAGCTTTGGGGCCCTTGCGCCCTCATGAGCCCAGCACGTGGTAAGATAGCTGTCGGCCTTCCGTGGGGAGTCGGAGGAGCCCGCCGTAGGCATCAGAATGTCTTCTCCCGGACAATTCCACGCTATATGGCCCTCTTGTCCACAGGCAAAGCATTTTCGCCGGTCCGGATTCACAAAGGGGCGGCGCTGGAGGGATGGCTGGGGCGGACCCCCTTGGGGCCTCAGGCTTGGGCCCAGTGCCTCCGTGTCGCTCTTCCTCAGCCTCTGCCTGTCTCTCCTGGGGTCCGATTGGCTGGGTGGCCTACTGCTTTGCATCAACTGTACCGTGACCTGGTGATTCTCCAACAGCGTCACTAGGGCATCTACTGTCTCTGGGCAGCTTTGAGAAGCGTGTCGTTTGGCACCCCCGGGTAAGGCTCTGATACAGCGATCCATGGCAACTCTGTCAATCGCTGGAGGCCCCTCCCCCGAGGTTAACCAACTGCGTGTCAATCGCATCAGCGTTGCAATTTGCGGCCGCACTGGGGCAGTAGCGTCATACTCCCAGGCGTGGAACTGTTGGGCCCTCGTCTGCAGGTTGTGTCCATAATGGGCCAAAATCGCAGCTTTCAATGCCCCATACTGGTTTACGTCAGCGGGGGAAAGGTCCCGGCAGGCTTTTTGAGCCTCGCCAATTAAAAAAGGGGCTAGAATTCCTGCCCATTGTGCTCTAGGCCAACGTTCCCTCTCTGCAGTCCTTTCAAAAACCTCTAGGTAGGCCTCAATGTCATCCTCACCGGTCTGCTTGGTGAGAACTTTACTGGGTTCCGTAGGCCTCTCTGGCTTTACCAGATGCTGTCCAAGAGTAGTGATGGCGTCCTGTAAGGCTTGAAGACTCTGGGCCTGCTGGGTTTGGGTCTGGATGAGCTGTGTCAGTGCATTCTCCATGGTTCTCCGTGTCTCTCTCGGAGTACCTATTTTAGCCTGAATCTTTAGCGACAGACCGTCATGCCTGCATCCTCCACCAAAATGTGGTAACCCAGGGGGAGTGAGGCCAGATTCGGGCGTAAAATAAGAAACTCAGACAGCAAATGCAAACAAAAAGGGTCCTTTTAATAACAAAGGTCAAAAACTACGGCTCTTCCAACCGGCTTCCAAACTGAAATATGTGGCGTCTCCTCCTACGTGGCGCCCGCTTCCTTGTCCTGTTAGGAGCAGAGTAGAGTAGAGCGGTGAGTCCTGGGGGTTACCTCCTCTCCGACGTCTGCTCCCGTCCGGTCTCTTCTCCTCTCCTTATCTAGGGTCTGCTCTGATTACCAGATAGGCCGCAGGTGTGACCAGTGCCACGTTCCCAGTGGCTGGAGCACCTGCACAGGATAATAAATCCCCCTTATCACCTCCCCCAACCGGAGCTTGGGGCTCCGCCCCAAGTGCTTTGTTCCTCCCCCTGGTTTGCCACAATGTGAATATAAAAGTAATTAGGTAGGCAGTGGAAAAACAAGAGGCACACCAGACTGATTTAGATTACCTTGAATTATAAGACAACAATTGTAAATACACGGCCAGATGTATTGACACACTTGACCGCATTTCTAAGTACAGACACTGAATGCCGGTTTAAAGGTCAAACCCGCTGCACACGACTGGATGAAAACTCTTCCTTGAATGGCACATTGGATATATTGTGTTGGGTCCGTTGGATGAGGAAAGTATCTGCCTGCCTTTCCATAACAGAGGTGTGCAAATTATTTAGTAGGTGGCTCTGGGTGGGTGTTAGTGGTGGTAGTGGGCGTGTTTGTTGTTGTCGTACGGTGAGTTGTTGTTGCAATTGTTGTGGTGGGGCGACTGGTGGTCATGGGAGTCATGGTGGGAGTACTGGTTGTAGTCATGGGATCACAGATTTCATGAGATGAACTGCCTGTTACAGGTGATCCAGGATAGTAACAAGCAGTTATGGAATGCCTATACACCAAATGTTCTGGGCACTTTTGGATGTAGGTGCGTCCCCAAACACAGTTGTAATACGAGTGCTGATCATTGGGGTTGGGGTACAGCCCATCTGGTCTTCCATAACAAGGGTTTCCATGTGATGTTTTGTAAACTCGAAGATTTCTCGCAAAGCCAGGTACACCTAAAATAATCATTTTCAGATATGTATTAATTCGCTGTATAAACGTAATAAAAAGAGAATACAACAAAGATGATGGCATTGAATCGTATATATACACTTAAAACTACTAATCTACTACTTCACTTAGTTAAAGACATAATTGATTTATTAGTGATTTTGTTTATTAGGATTTTTTACATGTCATGAACTTACCCAAGCTGGCGATGATCAAACAGAGACCTTGAAAGTGACACACTTGTTAGTACTGGGTTCAAACTAAGATTAACAGGGGCCTGTGCAAAGAAGTTTTTGGTTATCTGATTTGACCTTAACAAGCGCAATCCTGCCAAGCAGCCCCATGAAGCTGGTTATCAACTTTGTAAATCAAACCAGGGTTTCTGATTTCATGATGAGCGTGTTCACTTAAAACAGGAAGTGTTTACAGCATCACAAAATTGAAAAAGTCTGTCATCAGCAGAGCGCTGCAATCCACAAACAAAAAATAAACTGTACCATCGGACAAATAAGTAGAAAGTAAAGAAGTGCTTCAGGCTGAAGTAACATTGTTTTCAATTACAAATGAGGAAATAAACGCTGGTAAAAAAAGAACCTCACTATGTTAATTAGTAAATTAACAGATATACACCCTCAGCGCTTCCCAATAGACCCATGTAAATACACTTAGATCTATCGTGCCCTAGATGAAGCAGTGTTCTAAAAAAAATCGGTTAATTTATACATTCACACACTTCCGTTTTCTTGCCAGCTGTCTTTTTATGCATGTGTCTAGTGAAACTGTGTTACTTTTAGTCTGAATTATAACGTTCATAACTTTTTCTTAATAGTATAATATTCATGTATTATATGTTGTATAGAAAACATTCCTTTCAATTTACACAAATGAAAGGCATAAAACTAAGGAAAAATTGTTACAAAATTCCACTATCCACTAAGCAATTAGATATTGGGCAAGTTAAAGCCAAGGAGCTTGATGATGAACAATTTGAACATTTACTCCATCGGTGTGCTTACCTGCAGTTAGAGTGAGCTTCCACATTTTGACACAGTTTGGATATGCTGAAAGAGAAGCATGTGATTAATATGCAATGTGAAAAATATAAACACAATGATTTATTTGACAAATCCTCATCCTGAGCAATTCTCAACAAAGATATTTAAGGATATTCTCACATAGATTGACCATTAATTTGTATAATGATGTGACTAGAATTTAGAGAAAAATGTACAATACAACTATGAAACACCAAATGTTTAGCTGTAGAGCAGGAAGGAGATGCTGGTGCTCAGCACAAACCACACATACAGTATCCCTGCGTTGTATACAGGTACAGTTTAGCAATGTAGACAGCACAGGAAGGAAATAAGTTAAAAGGGGATGGTTAGGATCAAAGTAAAAGGTATACTTACAAGTGGTGAAAGAAGCATACACTGTCTCTGTTGTGTCCTGTGACTGACGAATTACTTTATATGGTCGAGGAGCTGACAAGGTGTGGCAAATAAGTACAATGTAGGTCACAATTTCTTAATTGTAGACGTGCCTGAGAAAATTGGCTCGGAGGGCCAGCTAGTGAGGTTTGACCAAGATGCCTCCCTTTTGAGGTGGCGTGTCCAACTATTAACCAGACCAGGCATAGCCAAGAACGCATTGTTTGTGGCAAATTATCTACCATCTCAATCTTGCAGCAGAATTTGATATTTGGGAAATGTTTTTCCAATCCTCTGCGTTCCAATTTTGGAGATGATTGTTGTCAAAGGCTGCCGCATGCTTCTGCGTCTTTACGCACAGTCGTGTCGACGCACTTGTTTCAATTGATGGTTGAAAAAGGCTTGCGTGTGTTGTAGAGCAATTCACATAGCATTTTGCATTGAAGCCAAACATTTCAAATTTTGTTTTGATTCGGGCACCTTCTCCCACATGTTTGCTGTGTCTCCCACATGGCTTGTGGCAAACTCCACAATGGATTTCTTTTAGTTTACCTTAAGCAGCGGCTTCCTTCTCGGCACTCTTCAGTTAAGGAAAGATTTGTGGAGTACACAGCTAATAGTTGTCTTGTCGACAGATTCTCCCACCTTATCTTTGCAGCTCCTCCAGAGAAACAGTATGTGTAATGCAACATTATGCTATGACAACAGTGTGTCTATTTAAAAATGACTTGACCACATTTGACCTTAGAATCCCTAGCCAGATGTGGAACAGTGTGTTAGGAAAATGTATTGACAGTGGTTCAAACATTTTCCAGAAAGAAAACACCCACTTTACCTGCAATTACATGAAGCAGCTGATAATAAATCACTCATAACTGTCGGATATAATGAAGATCAATTTAGACTGAACAATGCGGTCGTTAAAATTCTTCCAGCCCGGTAATTAACACATTATCAAACTCTTTTCGGCACACAAACATTACATAGACATTGATGCATTGTACAGGATCTGAAAAGTTTAAAACAAGCATCAGAATGTTAAAGAAATGTGACTTTGAATGTGTCTGGGTTGATGGTGACTGACAGTCTGGTTTGGAGTTGTTTTTTTAAGCTAAGAAGCAGAATTCAGCGTTTGCTGGTTTCCTTCATTGTTGAGTCTGGGTTTTCAGTTATATGATGAAAGTGGCTTTGTTACTTGGATAGATTGCCATGGTTACTTTTGCCGAATACCTAACCTACATCGGAACAGGTTATATTAGAGAGGAGATATTAACTTGTATAAAAGCAATGCATCCTGACCCATCCAAGTTTGTAGGGATATGGTTAATTAATATTATACAATTAGGAAGAAGATAAAGTCATAACTCAGGCTAAAAGTGATCCAGTTGAAACAGAACCATGGAAACAAGACAGCTCGCAAGAAACCCCAGAACTGCGTAAGTGTAAAATGAACTGATTTACAATATCACTGCTTCATCTAGGGTACGATAGATCTGACTCTAATTGTAAATGTTGCAAAAAGATATGTTACGGATGTATTCTTATAGCAGGAGTGAAAAAATGTAGACTTATTCTTTTAGCTGTAACTCTGGCGGTGTGACACAGGGTGGAGAGCAAACCAAAATATATATCCTCTTATCATAAATACATGTTATATATTCACTTGCGGGTGTTTGCTTCTTAAACGTCTGATGACATCAGCACCGCAGAGAGCCTTCTGTCAGGAAGACTGGACAGGCTGTGCCGTTCCCTGGTGGCCTCCTCTTTCCCTGTGGGTGCACGGCCAGCTGATTAGGGGCGAAGTCGGGTAGTACCAGCCAACCAGACCAAAATATACATCCTCTCCTATATCAACAGTTGAATCAGAGCAGTATCCCTGTGAGTCCTACAAATAGGACTATACTTCGACGAAGATGTGAAAAACAAACGTAAAACTTTAGGATTAATTAGCTAATATCAGTAACTAACTTCTTGACACAGCTGCTGAGTATGATCAAGCCATTCGATGATTAAAAGTCACTCGTATTCAGGGGCGTCCTCTCATTTGATGAGGACATCTGTGTTGACTACGTCATGTCTTTGACAACAGGAAGGAGATGTATGGGGTAGCAGATGTTTGACCATTCTGTTGTAAACCAGATGTGTTTTTGCCGACACCTACCCGGTGCTCCTGACCTCGACCTTCGATTAGAGAATACACTTTAAAAATGAACCTCTATCTGAAGTTTATTTACTTGTTTCAGTATTACAGGACTCAATCTATAATAATGTAATAATGTTTTATTGTGCAGTTATTGATTTTCTTCCACCACTACGTTTCCTTGGGACTTGGCACTGGAAACTAAACTCCAGCTTTCATGAGGACAGCTACGAAGTAAATACAACAACCCCTGAAGCATTCAGCTGAAAGTTGCCAGTTGTTAGGTCTCTTGATAGAGCGAAACATGAACAGGGAAACTCAGCTCCCCTGAAAGAGACACAAGCTAAAATGGCCGTATGGATGCACTGTATTCATCCATGTCACCCCTCTTAAAAGAGGGATCTGAAATAATACAATCTTAGTTTAACCTGCCACCACTCCAGTATGAAACAAGATCAAGTTGTAGTTATTATCAACCTTTTCAACAACATAGGAATCTGTTGAATACAATCTGGTCATTCCATCAGCCCAGATCTTGTTGTTTCTCTCAAACAAACACTCAATAATAATGGCTGAGTCTATTTGTGTAAAATTCTATTTTCTTGCGATTGTCGTGACTCCCCATGGGCTCACCACCTGTGGAGGAAACCAAAGGGGTCGGGTGCGCTGCTACAAGGGTGGCAGTAACAGTGGGGGGTCTAGACGGAACAGACCTGGGCGGCAGATGCTGGCTCTGGGGACGTGGAACCTAACCTCTCTTGGGGGGAAGGAGCCGGAGCTTGTGCGGGAGGTGGAGCGTTATCCGTTGGATCTGGTGGGGCTTACCTCTACGCACAGCCTCGGCTCTGGAACCACACTCCTGGATAGGGGGTGGACTCTATTCTACTCCGGAGTGGCCCATGGTGTGAGGCGCCAGGCGGGTGTGGGGATACTCATAAGTCCTCAGAGGCTCAGAGTATTCGGCCTTTTTGGAGACCCTGAATGGAGTCCTGCATGGGGCTCCAGTAAGGGACTCCATAGTCCTACTGGGAGACTTCAATGCGCACGTGGGCGACGATGGAGATAACTGGAGAGTCGTGATTGGGAGGAATGGCCTCCCTGATCTGAACCCGAGCGGGTGTTTGTTACTGGACTTCTGTGCCAGTCACGGATTGTCCATAACAAACACCATGTTCGAACATAAGGATGTTCATAAGTCTCTGCCGTGATGGAGGCAAAGCAGCGAGTATGGGAGGAGTTCGGAGTAACTATGGAGAAGGACTTTCGGTCGGCACCAAAGTGCTTCTGGAAGACCATCTGGCACCTCAGGAGGGGAAACGGGGAACCATCCAAGCTGTGTACAGTAAGGATGGGACCCTGTTGACCGCGACTGAGGAGGTTATCGGGCGGTGGAATGAACACTTTGAGGAACTCCTGAATCCAACTACTACGCCCTCTTTGGTAGAGGCGGAGCCGGAGGCGGAGCTGGAGGCGGAGGAGGGATCATCGTCAATTGGTCTGGTGGAGGTCACTGAGGTAGTCAAACAACTCCGCAGAGGAAAAGCCCCGGGGATTGATGAGATTCGTCCAGAGATGCTAAAAGCAATGGGTGTTGGGGGGGTGTCTTGGATGACACGCCTCTTCAACATTGCGTGGAAGTCTGGGACAGTGGCAAAAGAGTGGCAGACCGGGGTGGTGGTACCCTTCTTCATGGACAGGATATCGAGGCGTAGTCGGGGGGAGGAGGGTCTACAGTTCGGGGGGCTGCGGATCTCAATGCTGCTTTTTGCAGATGATGTGGTCCTGATGGCATCTTCCATCTGTGACCTCCAACTCTCACTGGAGCGTTTCGCAGTCGAGTGTGAAGCGGTCGGGATGAGGATTAGCACCTGTAAATCTGAGGCCATGGTTCTCAGCAGGAAACCGATGGATTGCCTACTCCAGGTAGGGAATATGTCCTTACCCCAAGTGAAGGAGTACCTCGGAGGAGAAGGAGAAGTACCTCGGGGTCTTGTTCACGAGTGAGGCGAAGATGGAGTGTGAGTTTGGCCGGCGAATCGGAGCAGCGGGGGCGGTATTGCGCTCGCTTTACCGCACCGTTGTGACGAAAAGATAGCTGAGCCAGAAGGCAAAGCTCTCAATCTACCGGTCAATCTTCGTTCCTACCCTCACCTATGGTCATGAAGGATGGGTCATGACCGAAAGAACTAGGTCACGGCTACAAGCGGCCGAAATGGGTTTCCTCAAGGAGAGTGGCTGGCGTCTCCCTTAGGGATAGGGTGAGAAGCTCAGCCATTCGCGAGGAGCTCGGAGTAGAGCCGCTGCTCCTTTGCGTCGAAAGGAGCCAGTTGAGGTGGTTTGGGCATCTGGTGAGGATGCCCCCTGGGCGCCTCCCTGGGGAGGTGTTCCAGGCACGGCCAGCTGGGAAGAGGCCCCGGGGAAGACCCAGGACTAGGTGGAGAGATTATATCTCTGCACTGGCCTGGGATCCCTCAGTCAGAGCTGGTAG